TTTTGTTTCTCAAATTGAACCTACAACCATTTCCGAAGCAATAAACGATGAACATTGGACCTTGGCTATGCAAGAGGAGCTAAACCAATTCAAACGGAATGACGTTTGGGAATTGGTGCCAAGACCCGATGATCGTACGATTATTGGTACGAAATGGGTGTTCCGTAACAAACTTGATGAAAATGGAATAATCACTAGAAACAAAGCTAGGCTCGTAGCTAAAGGCTACAATCAAGAAGAAGGCATTGATTTCGAAGAAACTTATGCACCTGTAGCACGTTTAGAAGATATTTGTTTACTTCTTGCTTTTGCTTCGTCTATGGATTTTAAACTTTATCAAATGGATGTTAAGAGTGCCTTCCTGAATGTTTTATTCAAGAGGAAGTGTATGTTGACCAGCCCCGGGGGTTTGAAGACTTTGAGTTTCCGGACCATGTCTTCAAACTCAAGAAAGCGCTCTACGGTCTTAAACAAGCACCCCGTGCTTGGTACGAACGGTTGAGTAAATTTCTTTTGGATAGTGGTTTCCAAAGGGGAAAGGTTGACACTACACTTTTTATCAAGAGTAAAAACAATAAGATCCTTTTGGTTCAAGTTTATGTAGACGATATTATATTCGGTGCTACTAACGAGTCTTTGTGCAAGGAATTCTCAACGTTAATGACAAGCGAGTTCGAAATGTCGATGATGGGTGAGCTCACATTCTTTTTGGGACTCCAAGTCAAGCAAATGAATGATGGCACGTTCATTTTTCAAACTAAATATTGCAAGGAGCTCCTAAAACGGTTTGAAATGGACAACACCAAAGCCATGGCGACCCCGATGAGCAAGTCCGACCATCTAGACAAAGACGAGAAAGGTAAGGAAGTAGAAGTCAAAAAGTATTGAGGTATGATCGGATCCCTTCTCTATCTTACCGCTAGTAGGCCGAATATCATGTTTAGCGTATGCCTTTGCGCAAGGTTTCAATCATGTCAGAAGGAATCGCACTTAACAGCGGTGAAACTGATCATGAAATAACTTGTTGGCACGGTTAACGTTGGACTGTGGTATCCAAAAGGCTCTTCGTGTCATCTCGCTGGTTATTCCGAATCAGACTTTGCCGGTTGTAAATTGGACCGTAAAAGTACAAGTGGGACTTGCCACTTACTTGGTAGCTCTTTAGTTTCATGGTTTAGTAAGAAACAAGTCAGTGTTGCGTTATCCACAACCGAAGCGGAATATGGCCTTAGTATCAGTCACGTTCCACTCCGTTGTGATAATGCTAGCGCCATAAGCTTGACGAAGAACCCCGTTCTTCATTCAAGGACGAAACACATTGACATTAGGCACCATTTCATTAGAGATCATGTTCTCAAAGGTGATGTCGAAATTGAGTTTGTTGAAACACACAACCAATTAGCCGACATTTTCACAAAACCTTTAGAGAAAGAGTCGTTCTTCCGCATTCGTAGTGAACTCGGAATCCTTGGCTCCACGATGATCTAATTTGTGCAGGGACGGTTCGAAGTGAAGAATTCTGGAAATCAGGGGGAACCAGCGATGGGTGCGTTATACCATCGCTCGAGGACCCCTCTTCCCATCGATGGGTGCTTCTTCCCATCGATGGGTAATTGACTCTATTTTTAAAAAAACTTTTAACGGATTTCTAGAAACACCTTACCCATCGATGGGCATTTCATCCCATCGCTGGGTGAAGGACTTTTTGTCAATTTTCTTTTTTCAGAACCTCTCTTACCATCGATGGGTACTTTCTCCCATCGATGTGTAATTGACTCTATTTTTTTTAAACTTTTAACGGATTTCCAGAAACACCTTACCCATCGATGGGTATTTCATCCCATCGCTGGGTGAATGTTTTTAGTTTCAAAATTTTTTTCCAGAACCTCCCTACCCATCGATGGAACTTTCTCCCATCGCTGGGTGTTTGACACTTTTTTTTAAAGCGTTTTATCAGATTTCCAGTAGCCACCTTCCCATCGATGGGTGCGTTTTACCATCGCTGGGAAGGCAGCCTTTGTTTTCTCCTTCGCTTTCCAGTGTCGACCTTCCCATCGATGGGAAGTTCCACCCATAGCTGGGAAGCCTACTGCAAATTCAAAATTTTTAACCGTTGGTCACCGAATTTATTGCCCAACAGTCACTTTTTTCAAATTCAAACGCATTTCTCACCCTTTCCTATATATATCCTTCATCTCTACTCTTTTTAACACACATTTTTCACATCAAAATCTCCTCTTTTACATATTTCTTCATCTTTTTGCTTCAATCATGGTCGGAGGAAAGAAGACAAAAGTTTCCAAGAAGAAGAGCAACGCCGAAGCTACGACCTCAGCGCCCCCGCCGTTCCCCTACATGGACGGCTCGTTTCTTGAGTTCGGGTCAGAGGAGGAACTCAACCGGTCCCTCACGCACTTTGCCAAGCGTCCCATTTCTCCGCCTAGGGTGCTGCCCGAGTTGTACCCTCAACAAAAGGGGTACCACGACCTCGACAATCAGCTTCAAGCATCGGGTCTGTGGTCGTTCGTCTCCAGGAGCCGCTCGAGCTTCAATCCCGCCTTCGTCCGGGCCTTCTACTCCAATCTCTGCCGTGACGGGGACACCATTCGCAGCAGCATCAATCTCTACGACATAGAGATTGATTTGCCTACCTTTGCTCGGGTCGTAGGGCTGCCCATCCGCGGTGACGACATCGCGACTTATGGTGGCGACGATTGGATCCTCAACAACGAGGTAGTTGTCATTCGTGAACTTGGGATCACCAACTTGATCTGCCACAGCGGCGCGGCGACGATCCACTCGGCCCCACCGGACAAGCGCCTCCATCAATTGGGCGAAATTCGTGATGATCCACATGGCGGATTGCGCCTCCATCGCCACGGAGCGGAGCTTGCCATATGCCTTCCTCGTCATGGACCTCATCATCTCCGCCGACATCTCCATCGCCGGCCCGGATACAAAGATGACGAAGATTTGGATCATTCAAGACAGCACCTTCCAGAAGAAGTCCGGAGACAGGGACGGCGCAGGCCCAAGTCGTGCACCAGCCCCCGCTCCCGCCAAGGCCTCTTTGCAATCCATAGCCGATACTCTAAATCGGCTAACCCTCATAGTGGATGGCATGGGGCAGTCAATTAAGCGGATGGACTGGACGTTGCAACGCCAACACCACAACATGACGGCGTACTTCCGCGGCATCAACTACGTCCCGCCGCCCTTTGACACCACCTTCCTTGGCCAAAACTATGAAGGCGAGGACGAGGAGGATAACTCCTATGATCCGTCCTCCTCCCCCGACGAAGCCGACTTTGAAGATGCGGTCGACGGCGATCCCATGGATGTCGAGGACGACGAGGATGACGACGAGGACGCCGATGCTTAGACTATTCTCTTCTCTCCTTACTATGATTGTATTTTTTATTTCCATTCTGTTGTATTCCGCATTTCCCTTTTTATGAATAAAAGTTTACTTTTAAACTCTAAAGTTCACTTTTAATTCTTTTTGTTAATGTCAAAAGGGGAAAGATATTAAGGTTATGCATAAATTGAGGGGGAATTTTTTTTACTTTGTAAAATGGCATCTATTAAGGGGGAACATTTTTTTTCAAAATAATCCTCCTATGCATAACCTCGTCTCGTTTGCCATTATCAAAAAGGGGGAAATTGTTGAAACACGGGCTTGTCACGTTTTCGTACTAAAGCCGTGTTTGTTTTTGTAACAGGTTTTGATAATGCCAAACCGCCGTGATCAAGTCGAACATTGAATATACAAGGCGAAGAACGAAGATAAGAGCAAGAGCTAAACGAAGACCAAGAACGAAGACCTTAGTCATAGTATTGAGTCGGTCTTTATTGTGATCAAGACCGACCCAATCTTTACACCTTGGCTCTTTAAGCTAAAATCTCTCATTGCATTTCTTACATCATAAAAATGTTTTTCAAACTTGTTTAAGTCATTAAAAACACTTGGTGTTCGCCCAAACCAAAAACCAAGCCATCCATTGTTTGGCTTTCAGAAACCAGCGTTCGGCTTTCGGTTGTCAGGTTTGGTTTTTGGCATCCGAACCAACCAAGTGGTTTTCAGCATTTTATGATCTGCTTTCACTCTTTGGCATGTTTAAACAGTTCTCCAACAAAAACACTTTGAAAACCATCTCTCGCTTCTAGTCGTTTGACAAAAACCACGCAAAACGGCGTAAACTTGGCTAGTCGTGGTTTTTACCCAAATGACGTGATTTTTAAAGTGTCTCACTTGATTTCTTAGCCAAATACATCAAATAAGTGTTTTAAACACTTGGTTTTTATTTTGGAGAACTTTGGATTTTTCGGTCGGTTTTTGCATCGGTTGGCTAGGCCGTGGTTAAGGCAAAAACCATAGGTTTTTGGCTAACCGCCCACCCAGCGATGGGAAGAACATCCCATCGATGGGTAAGCGGCCCCTTAGCCAAACCAACTTCCAGAACCATGCCAAACAGCGATGGGAGGTTCTACCCATCGCTGTTAAAGCCTTGGTCCAACATTATCACAAGGCAGAATGCCCTTACCCAGCGATGGGAAGCTTTACCCATCGATGGGAACCCAGCGATGGGAAGGCTTATCCATCGATGGGAAGGCATGACCGTTGTATGTCATTTAAGGTTGATTCTTTCCATGTTTGAAAGTCAACCTCCCACCCAGCGATGGGAAGCATGTACCCATCGATGGGTAGGTGACCGTTGGCTTCAAAACTTAAGGAAAATTGGCCTACCAGCGATGGGTAAGGTCCATACATCGATGGGAAGCCAATATTCTGCAGATCCCAAATCTTTTCAATCCCATAAATCAAGCTAATCACCCCTTTAATGCATTGGTCCGTTGGAGCCTATTTTGGCACTATAAAAAGGGGTGTTTGGGTCTGCTTTTCTCACCAATTCACTTCACAAC